GTTTTGTCCTTGCAGAGTAGAACCTTACTGGCCTGCTGCAGCCTGAACAGAGAACTTACCTTCCGTGCTCTTTCCACTGCACAGACTGGCCCATAGTCTGATTTATTGATGGCACGGGCAATATCTAGATGTTTCACTTTCCACCCTAAGTATGAGGACTGGCAGAAAGGGAATTATAGTGACTGGCAAAGTAAACTCACTATAAAAATGCCCTCAGCTGGAAATGAATGTTTGGCAACTAAGCGTGGAGCTCAGTTCAGTTCTGCCAGGGAGAGTTCCAGGAAGTGTGACAGTGAATTTACTTATTTTCCTGGTATACAGCTAAAAAGGGATTTACATCAGAATTGTGCTCAGATGCAGTGAATAATTCAACTCTCTGCAATTCTTTGAAGCTTTTAAAGATTTTTGCAAATAACCACTGATGAAGCTTTTTGACATGCCTTTGTCATGTCAGAGTACTGTGGGGTTGTTTTAATTTGTTTTGTTTTGCTATTTAGTTCATAAATCTCCTTTGGGTTTTAGAATAGCGTATGTTGTAGTGCCAAGCAGATCATTACAGGCATTTGGTCTTCTTTGAACTAAATGCTCACGACTGTCTCTGCTGGCCAACAGGAGGCCCTCCTGCATTTGAGAGCTAAGAGATAATCAGAATAGCTAAGGCTGTTCTTGTAGCTTGCCACTCCAATACTGCCATTCACAGGGCTGTGAGAGATCTCTGGTATTTTTTGCCAGACTTTTTAACCTAGAGCAGGAGATTCCTGAATATTCGTCTTAAGAACCTTGTAGTCACGCTTAGAATAGAGAACAGGACATAACGGGCTATCACACAGCTTTTGTGACTGTGTACTTGATCCATTGCTGTTGACCATTGCTGTGTAATAATATCAAAGAAGCAAAGAAACTTAAGAGGTCTTAACATCTGTAGCAGTACTAAAATTGCAATGTGACTTTTGAACAAATTGCCTGCATCAGGCAGCAGCAGAGGAGGAGCACACTTTAACGTATGATCGCGGCTGTACGCTGTTTGCTTCCCCAGCCTAGCTCTGACTGCAGTATGCAGGAGTCTGTTATGTTGTATTATAAAGTACTCATTGAATTAATATTGCAAGCAACATGCAATATGTTGAAATAAAGACACGGGCGGTGCCATACCATTCCCCAAGTGCAAGTAGATCAAGTAAGTTTATAATAAATGTAGCATTTCTTGCAACAGAGACGGGAACTTAGATTTCGTAAATGCCAGTGTGAGTCTTTCTTCAGGGGGCTGGAGGCTTTTCAGCTCACAAATTGTCTTGCTTTGTAAGGCTTGTCTAAATCATGTAGTAGATTAAACATTCCTGGAAGGGATTGTTGGCCTTGCTGCAGTTAGCAGTTAGGAGGGCTAATTACCGTATCTGGGAACATGATTAATAAGTCTGGGTATGAATCTCTCCTTGTTGGACCAAGCAGTAGTTGGCACTGTGTTTTCCAAAGAGATCACTGTCTGAATTCCCTGATTGCATAGGTCAGCTGCAGGACAGAAAACAGCCAGCATTAAAATCTGCAAATACATGTGAAATTCACAGTACTTGGTGCAGGAGCATTGGTTCCGGTGCCCTGGAAAGAATGGACATTTTGCAATGCCTTCCTATATGTGGAAGTCAGTTCAGTGAAAAACCTTCAAGCCTAACAAAAATCCTTCTCAAATGGCTGAAACTCTCTTCCTTATCTTGGAACTAAAGCTGTTCTGAGAGGAGTGTCCTTAAAACGCAGCCTTTGTATCTGTATTCGCCTGAATTTAGGTAACACAGGTGCAGTTTTGGCTGGTTGTTTTGCCAGATGGAACAAGTCGGCAGCAGTAGATGTAAGAAATTCTCTACTTTTTTCAGTGTTATTTGTTTGACTGGGCATTTTTTGAGTCAGTCTGTAAGAGAAATTAAAAGCTGTAAGGAAATTCTTGCCTATTTCTGTGCAGTTCAGTGTGAGAGGAAGAATATTTATGTCATGGAATGTTAAAGATTTGAAACTCCCTTTGTGAACAATACTGTTTTTTGCAACGTACTTTTATTTCATGTGTAACTGCATTTTGTAATTAGTTGAAGGTTCAGAAATTTCTATCAGTGCTTTGTGTTTTGCTGTTTTGGAAAGCTACCAGAGGAATCACAGACTTAAGGGAGGAGCGATGCGTTTGTGCTTCTGAAATGAGCTCGGACGAAGAAGACACAACATGAAGAATGAGAAAAACCTCATGTTTCCTGTGATCATTTAATTAATGATATTCCATAAAGAAGAGATTTATCTCTGTGTTTAAAAACAGTTCAGTGGAATTGTACAGATTTTTCAGTATTTGGAAACCTTTCCTCACTTTCTTCGTACACATCCTTTATCTTAAATACAGTACTTCTGCAACGGCTGTGGAAAGCAGTGGAGTGCACACAAGTCTTTCAGAGTAATAGTATTCACTTTTCTCAGAAATAAGCTGTCTTTGGCAGTATAGTGAGAACAATTATGTAAAATTAATTACTCAGAACTTCAAGCTGTCAATACATAATTACCTGTTTTGGAAATACAAGGCACTAGAATATCATCCCTGCTAGGCAGCTGTCATTTTTAATCAAAAGAGTTTCAAAACTCTTACTGTGAATCCACATACTAGTTGTCAACAAATACACCCTTAAATAATGGCCTTTCTTCTCTGCAGGTGTATGACTTTTCCTTCTTAGATTTTCTTTGGCACTGCTCTCTGGTAGAACAGTTGGTTGTTAGCCTTTGTCATCTCTGGTTAATCATCATTATCAACTATTCAGCTTTAATGTTTTTCTGGGCCTCTGAACGAGGCAAATACTTGGGTCTTGAGCAGAGTGTTCTCAGTTATTTTATTTTTAGTAATAGCATTTGATTTTTAGAAATTACAGCAACCAGAATGATAACCAACATTTATTTTCCATGTTGGCAAACTAGGGAAAGGCTTCCCCCCTTCCCCACGCCCCCCCGCCCCATGTTCTGATCTTATCTTTATTACTGTGGAACAATGTCCAGAGAGATTTGAAAATGCACTGCCCAAGTATCAAGAACATGAACTTTATTGCTGAGTTGGACTTGAACAAAAAAAATCCTAGCTACGTTTATCCTGCCTCATTTTATTTGTCTTCCTTTTCTTCTTACTTCTTTTCTCTTTCTGTATTTCTTTCTTTCTGACTGTCTTCTTTCTTGCTCTCTTTCTAGGATTAGTCTTGCTTGTGTTACTGCAGTTGCTATTCTGACGTTTGTACATTTTAATAGACTCCAGCTGATGTGATTATAAACAGAAACATCACCATTAGCATTGTCACTTGACAAACATAATGACATGCATAAGCTATCATGCATAAACTGTTAAGAATTTTCAGACTATTTATTCTTAACACTTACTAATTACACCATCTAATGTAAATTGTTATTTATCAGTGAATAGATTGATAATGTGATTATAAAGGAAACATTGCATTAATGGGCACCAATATATGTTAATCCCAATGAATAATTGTTGCATTATTCATGAAGAGACCAGACCGGTCCTCCTCAATGAAGACATCAATTGAAAACATCGTAAAACACTATATTCAAGCCTCAAAACCGTGTTAATCTTTTCTATACTTGGGAGAATGAATAACTGATTAAGCGGAGACAAGTTTTCTACTACGATTAAAATGAAGTATTTCTTTTGCTTATTTCATAAAAAAATAATAAAAAGTAAAACATGTAAAGAAGAGATACAGCTTTATTTTTTTAAGATCTTAGGATATTTGGAACATCCTCGTGGAGTCAAACAACCTCTGTATAGACCTGTGTACCACTAGATGTCATGGCTGTCTCACAGAGATAATACTAGAAGAATTTATTTTCCAGGAGGAGTTCTGAAACAAGTTTCCTTTGGCTCTCATTGCTCCTTTGTCATCCCAAAGGCAATGTACTTGAGACAGGTCATTAGGCAGATGTTATTATTAGGCACAAGGTTCATTCTAAAGATTATTGGGTCAAAGTCTTGGTTCCAGTGGTTTTCTTCTAACATGTTACATACTTTATGGTTGCAAGTCTTCTGCTCTGGTATATAGCAGATTATGTCATCTCATAGCAACTCACATTTCAGTGCCTGATTTTGCTCTCTTTTGCACCAGTTTAAACTGAGAGCAATTTCACTAAAGGTAAGCTGTTAGAAACAGACATATGGGAAACTAAATTTGAGTCTGTACATTTTAAACTGCTTTATTATTGCTACTTCAGCTCTCAGAGATCTTGGCCTCACTGAACAGTAACCTTAAATTGTAATTTGAGTGTTACACAGCTCTAGTCTGCATATGAAAACCCTCAGCTGGAGTTAGTTGGCCGGTGAAGTGTGGGCAGGCTGTTAATAATCAGTTGTGATGTGCAGGCCCATCAGTGTGTTATGATGAGGTGGCACACAAGCTGTCCAAAGTTGTAACATAGGTAACTTGTTTTTGTAGGGATTATCTCTGTGGCCAGCAAGGCTATGGAGGTGCTGTCATTCTGCAGGTAGTTGTGCTTGCTCAGGGTTTCCCCTGGCTGTCTGCCACTACCTGCCACAACCTCACTAGTGGTTGCCAATGTGACGGCTCTGCCAGCAAAGCCATTGATATGAGCATTTCGTGATCTGCATCATGCCAAAAGAGTGAGGCTAGTTTAAATGGGCTCACAGGCTCTCTGGTTTAGTGTGAAGCTAATTAGAAAGCCCTCAAACACATCTGCCTCCTGGCTGAACTATGGGACTGGCTCCCAGCTGTGGTAGTAACAGAGAGGTTGGTTCTGCAGTGTTTTAAAGCCAGCATAGGAGGGTATGAAAGATGCTCTCTCACTACATGATGGTTTTCTTCACACCAGTGTAAACAGTCATCACTTACATTGATTAGAATTACTTTCCTAAATAAGAAGATGTGTGTATATTACATGTATGCTTGTTACATGACTGCAGTACTTCTGAGCTATTGGAATAACCCTTCCCTCTTATTTATTTGCCTTTTCAGGAAGCTGCTCTATGCAGACAACTTCCCATGGACTCAGAAAGCATGGCCCCAGTTCAGACAGCTGTGAATACACCTGCCATGACACAAGACATGAGGCCTATTACAAATAATGGATCAGACCCTTTCTTGAACAGGCAAGTTCATGTCCTTTTCATTAGGCAATTGGTTCTGTTGCCTTCTCTACGCTCTTAAAATTGTCTCACTAAATTTGTTTCCTATATCATCTTCTTTTGTACTTACTGTGAACAGGGGCTTTGGCCAAATGGCTGACCTGAAATCTTTCTGTTTATACTTCAAGAAGGAATCTTGAAAAAATAAAACGAATGGTAACAGGTCATTTTAATTGTACTGTAGGTGTATGTAGAAGACTCTAGTTAGAATAGGTACATTAGCTAAGTATAAATAAATTCAGGGTTTGTTAGGATATCAGGACTGTTTTTGTCTAGAGAGTTGTATATACATGAATGTATTTCAAAATTTGAGAGTGGCCTCACTTCAGTTGCTTTATATTTGAGCTGATACAGCATGACCACGTTAGTGGCCAGCAGTTGAGAATGAGGCTTAATGACTCAGTATTGAGTATCTAACCTACTGTGCTGTTTTTTTCAAACACCATGATCAGGGACTGTGTCTAACAGAGCATCTTTACTGAGGCTTTTTCATGTTTCAATTTATAGCGGGCCATACCATTCCAGGGAACAGAGTACTGACAGTGGCTTGGGATTAGGATGCTACAGTATACCAACGACACCTGAAGATTTCCTCAGCAACGTAGATGAGATGGATACAGGTAGAATATTCTGATTTAGCTTAAAGTATAATGATATTAATAATTTCATATTATAACCAGTAATGTTTCATAATTGCATAACTGAAGGAAAATCTCTTGCTTTTCCATGCAAGAGAGTCTGAGATTGGGGGAGAAGTGCCTAAAAGGTACTAAGTGCCTAGAAGGTTCTCAGCTTTAAATTACGTCCAGATTCTATCCTTTTCCTTAGACTGATATTAAGCAAAATAAGTGAAAGTTGGAAAATATGAGCTGTAATTTGTGTTTTCATACCATAGTCCAAAGTAGGAGGAGTGAAAATCTGGTCTTGGGCAACATTCTTGGTGCAGATCACTGCTTTTCCTAACTCTGCGAAATTGGTCTCATTAAGTCTCTTACAATGGCCAGGTTGGATTTGCTTTCAAACAGAATGGATGTAGCTAGTTCATTTAGGTTTTTGTATGTATTTATTTTTATATCAGTGTCCTCATGGTGTTTAAAATACTGAAATAAAAAGCAACAAGTTTTTTTCCAGGTAGTGAAATTCTCGGCACTTCCGCACCTAAACTTCCTTTTGAAGTCATCAAAAGTTCTAGATGGTGCAGTGAAAGGTTTTTCTATTAAAGATTTTCATGCTTGTTATTATTAATTTATGAAAAAGGCAATATAATATTGCAGAACTAAATTGCTGTAAAGCACTTTCTTCAGTTATGCATCACAGACAGCATTCACCCTTGAGCAGAGAGCAGGGCAGAGGGTTTACATACAATGCAATTGCATTGCTCCCTCCACAGACTAGAGAACTTTGTACTGTCAGATTTACCAAGTGGTTAATTATTTTGAACACTGCTGGAAATGACCTTTTGTGCTTTTGAGAGAAAAGCAAGGATGTGAAATTAACTCTTAGAAGAATATGCATTCTGCAAGCAAATACGGTTTTGAGGTAACATTTGTAGAGGATAGGAATGCTCACAAGTGCTTATGGGAGATAGGGAGTCTAATTTTTATATCAATTGTATTGTTTTAGATTACCCCCAAGAAGAGTTTGGTATTTCAAAAGTTCTTCTTTATTTTTCCTAGGAGAAACTATAGCACAGACAACAATGAACATAAATCCACAGCAAACACGTTTCCCCGATTTCCTCGACTGTCTTCCAGGAACAAATGTTGATCTTGGGACTCTAGAGTCAGAAGACTTGATCCCTATTCTCAACGACGTGGAGTCAGTACTCAACAAAAATGAGCCCTTTCTTACCTGGCTGTAATCTATTCAGTGCTGACTGGGCCGAAAATGCAATTCAGCATTTCTTTTTCCTCTTGAGATAGAGGTAGAATATCTGAAAATCCTCAAGAGATATGACTTACTGCCTTAATGACTTTGTTACATCATCTTTATGGTCAGTTTAATCTCTGCCTGGATTTGATTGACACTAATTTAAATATAAAATACACACATATATACACACGCACACACATATATGCAATATACATTTCTTTCTCTTAAAAAAAAAAAAAAGCACACTACTTTACACATCTGTATACTTCCTTCCCTTTTCAGACCAGGCAGAAATGTTTCACTTTAAGGACAGAAAGTGGGTGGTGGTTGTGCATGTCGCTGACTGATCACCTAGGTGTTGATTAACATCACAAACCCTTCATGAATCACAAAAACTAACTACTAGGTCAGTTGGTTCAAAAAACATGCACAGCATCAGACCATGAAAGCAGTTTTATTACTGTGTTTGACAATAGTATCAGAAGCTTTTTTTATCAACTTACTTAAGCTTTAAAAATACTTTAATTCTTAGTTACTGTGCTGTAGGGAATACAGATCAAATCTGAACCATATCAGCCATAATAATTCTCATTATGTATTCGTAAAGGCACAAAGAATACTATCGCAGTTTCTTTTTTTCAGTATATTACTGTATAGTTTTTAGAAAATAAATATTCCAATCTGAAAGTACCAGAATCGTTTAGCAACACTTTTACAGTACAATATTGTTGCAAAATAAACCAGACTGGTACTGACTGCTGCCCTTTAAAAGCAAAGCAATGTATTATAAACAAGCATTTTTTTAAAAGATCTTAGATTTTTATGTTTATTATATTAAGCACTACAATTTTTGTAACTTAACACATGAAGAAACAATTTTTTATATATATAAAATCTGTGGCAAATATCTTAGATGCAAGAACATGCTTTTAAAATCAGGTCTGATTTTAAAAAAAATGTGGCACAGCTTGTTAATGTCATATGTAGTGGGAAAAAAACCCTTGCTCATACTGTTTCCAGTAATGTTTTTAACTGACAGTGTCAAAATACATGTAGTTGTATACATGAAAAATGATGGTAACTTTATCAGGGCAATGCTGAAGCAGTATTGTAACTTGTCTGGTAAAGTTGCTGAGTTCTTTAGTCTGTCACTTATTGTAATTCGCGTACAGGACACAAGGTGTGTTCTGTGTATATCTACCTATTGTATATCCTACAAATACTTCTTTAGCAGAGGTTTGGGACTGAGAAGGCATCAAGGACATAAAGCTTGCAGTTCCCCTGAAATGCAAATGAAGTCCTAAGATTCTTAAATATTTTGAAATTATATTATTTATAAAGTATGAATTTTAGCTTTTTATATTGAAAAATGTCTTTTTATGAAAGGCATTAAAACTTTTCTCTAAGCTTCATCCAGGCTATGTAGAGAGAGGAAGAGATGTAGCACTCAGTCTATACATGCGTTTGCCAGGTCTAATAACATTTAACAAGGTCTTATCAATGCACCAGAACATAGATCACTAAAGGCTTTTTTCCATCTGGTTGGGTGAAGGTAGGTGAAAAGGTCAGAGATGAAGTGATGGGAATATGGAGTGGGTTTGGGAGACAAATGATTGTGTAACAAATGTAGATCCTTGCCGGGAAGGGTGGCTGCAGATGGGGATGCACAGAAAACAAGGCACCAGTGTTCAGCAAAAAACATAGCGGAAGAACTTCGTACAATAAACTGCCTTCTTAATGATGAACTGCTGTGTACGTGATATCAGAAGGTGGAAAATTAAAAGCACACACCCCGAAATTTTGAAAAAAGAGATGGAAGGCAAAGACCTACAGTCATGAAGTTTTATTACATGGGGAAAAGTAGCTCTTTTTATGTTGTGGTTTGTTTGGGGGTTTTTTTAATAGAAAATGAGATGTGACAGCAGAGTTGTGTCTGCACAGAATTTAATTACTGAATGGGCATTGTGTTTCTTTTATTCTTTTGGAGGGGTTATTTGTTGGGTTGGGGTGTTTTTTTAATTATTTTTGCTAGTGCTAACTGTTGAGATAGCAGAAATTTCTTTTCAACAAACAAGGGACTGGGCAGGGGCTGACCGATATTACTGTAATTATGATTAATCTCTCTCTTTTAAGGATTTCTTCAGGTTGTCAGCCTAAATTAAAAACAGATGGTCCTAAGGCTTTGTTCTTTAGTGACATGACTGACTTTGTTAAAAGAATGGGAGATTTTTTGGCGTCTGGTTGTGATGCCAACTTGTAAGGCCCACTCATCAGTGCTGCATGATTGGCCTCACAAACTGCAAGCCATTGGTGCTAGAACGATTTACAACAGCTGCAGGTCTGAGCTGGTATGCAGTTCATTATGTTTAGAAAATGAAATGCAAGTTGTTCATTTGCTAGTAAGTCTGTACTGTTGTAAATTTAAGTTTTGTCATAATAAAAGATGCTCCAAACAGATCAGGTTGCTGCAGGTGTGGCTTAGCTAACCTGTGTTGACTCCAGTTTGGCCACACTGATTTTCACCACAGAAGGCCATACTTCTTACAGTGCAGCAGCAAGAAAATATTTTTTAAAGGTCTTCTTTTTTTTAAAAAAAGTTTCTGGATTTAAATAGGCTTATGACAGAACTTTTAAATATTCAAAGTATATGTAATTCTTATGAAACTAAATTTATTGCTGACAGTATGTCACTGTACTGTTTCAGGTTTTGAACATTTACTTTACTAAATATACACTGTCTACTTGTAGTATAAATACAATATATGTGCCAGCGGGACAGTTTCGCCGTTGACCATCACTGAGGGTGCCATCCAGAAGTCTTGGTGATACAGAAGTAATGAGATGTTGTTAATTACAGTTTGCGTTCTGGTAATACTGTTAGAATGTAACTTGGAGAGGGATTGGGTTTGACTTTTTGACAAGAAATGCTGTTTGGGGGAAGGGAATGATTTAAATGTCTATTTTAAATACAGAAAAATATGGATGTTCAAATAAACTTGTTTCCTAATATAGTACATCCATGTACATGCTAGTACTTTTAACTTTTTTTATTTACATTTTTTCATTTTGTTATATGATGTGTGAGCATTTGTTTTTAATTTCAAGTACCTTGCAACAGATTGTATGTATCAAAAGCAATCAGATCAAACTGTTGTATCCAGGGTTTGATTCTGTTGGTTTTTTTTATTATTTCTTTGATCTTGTACGTGAAAAACAAATATAAACTTAAAAGATTTCAGATGCATATTGTTGTATTAAATTGTTTTTTTTTCCTTTGGCGGATTTTAGTATGTGCTTCCCATGAAACTGGATGACGCTGTTTGGAATAAAGGTACAAACATACTATTCTGTGCAAAAGGCATACATTTTGAATTAAATTATTAGCACTTAGCAAATGAAATGGGTTATTTACCATTATGTTTCAGTTTATTACTAGTTGTTATGGCCATTACTGGTGGTTACAGTTTCACTCGTAATGCTTACAACGTGCTCCCCAGTGCCTCCATTACTTGTTTCTTTTAGCAGCACCTTGTAATTCGTAGCACAAATGTTTTTTAATGATTTGTTTAGTATCGTTATCTCTAAGCAGAAGAGTTAGCACCAAGTCCATTTGCTGTTAATTTCTGTTTTGGGGACTTAAATAGTGCATTGTTTTCAGTCTTATCCCTTACTCAAGAAGTTTCTTAAATTCTGCGTTAAGAAAATGCTTATCTTTCCTAGGAACAGCCCATGAAACCTAAACTTTCTGGGCTCGTATTTGAATACCTGGTCTTCACTGTGGTGGTACGTGGCATGGGTGATATAAGATCCAATGCAACTATTACTATTAATTAATTTAAATACTTTTCCTTGAATCATTCCCTTACATAATTTATTCTAGTTATTTGTTAGAGTGCTTCTGACAATGTCATGCATTTACATAGAGCGTGGTGTGCACTCGCTCCTGGGAACCTCACCTCCCGCACTAGTTTCCAGAGAGTTCTGGCAGGAGGGCATCCCAACAGCGTAGTTTTTGGTGTGGTACTTCAGTGAAAACCTTTCTTAGGTTTGTTTTATTTTCCTGCCTCGTCCTCAAAGCTTACTCTTTCCTATATCATCAGTGATGCTTGTGCCCCCCACCAGGTACCTTTTAATTCTTCAAAGTACAATGGCTTGTATCGCATGCGCTATGCCACAAAAAATAAGACCTTGTGTTAGGGTGGGGGTTTTTTTTGTTTTTTCGTCTTCTAAAAACAAGCTTCCTTGTAAACTCTGGTTTGCCGAATTTCCTTGGAATGAGGAGAGCGAGGACGGGCAGAGCGAGCGCGAAGGCGGGAAACGCGGGACGGAGGCGAAG